AAAAAAAAAAGGAAAGTGTGCTGGAAATGTGACTTACTAGTAGTGTTTGCCTTGCGTGCATGAAGCCCTGGGTTCCATTCCTCACTACCACATAAACAGAAAAAGCCGGAAGAGGCCCTGTGGCTCAAGTGGTAGAATGGTAGCCTTAGCTGAGGGACAGCGCCTAGGCCCTGAGTTCAAGCCCCAGGACCAGCAAACAAACAAACAAAAAGAAAAAGGGAAAATGGTTGGGTGCAAGTGGCTTTCCTCTGTTAGCAAAGAAGCTCAGGGACAGCGCCCAGGCCTCCCCCCACCCCATTCTTTTTTGTTTTTGTCGGTCGTGGGGCCTGAACTCTGGGCCTGGGCGCTGTCCCTCAGCTCTTCAGCTCAAGGCGAGCGCTCTACCACTTGAGCCACAGCGCCACTTCTGGCTTTCTCTGCTCATGTGGTGCTGAGGAACTGAACCGAGGGCCTCATGCATGCGAGGCAAGCGCTCTACCACTGAGCCACCTTCCCACTGGGCCACCTTCCCAGTCCCCCACCCCGTCTTTCCTATCAAAGGGCTTAAGAGTTAACCTCGGTTGAAATGGCTTTTAAGTTCCAGGTATAGTAATTAATCCGCGAGCATCAGAATCATATACTCAGCAATAAAACAGAGCTCGTGATTAAACTTCCCCTCACGAAATGATCTCCTAGAGTTGTTTGTGACGTGGGCTGCAGGCAAGAGCGCCTCCAGCATTTTTAAAGCCCCTGCAGTGGGACCCGCGCCCGGCTCCGCCCCTGCCGCCGCGCCCGGGTCTCCATTTCTCCGGCAATCCTGCGACATCGACTTTATTTTACCAAGAGTACGAGATGACGCGGGTGGGAGGCCGGCGCGGCTGCCCCCGCCTCGGCCCTCCCGGGGCGGGTCACCGCGGGCCCCGCGGCGGGCAGCGCGCGCCGGCCGTACCAGCTCCCACCCTCGGCGGGGTGGGCTCGGCACGTAGGCCCGCAGTCTAGCCGAAGACATGGCTCCGCGCAAACCAAGCCGACCTGAGCTTGGTAGACAGCTGCCTTTTCTCCTGCCAGAGGCTGACCACAAGCCATTCTCCCCACCCTGACCCTCGCTCCAGCGGTGCCGGCCTGAGATCAGCTCCCCTAACGTCCTCCGGCGCGCCCCATAAAGAGGGCCCCGCGAGCCCCGCCCCAGTGCGTACCAAAGACGCCGCCGGCGCCGCCACGTCAGCCGACGCGCGTGATGCCAGCGCGCCTGCGCGCAGTGAGGGGCGGGGGCTTGTGAGGAGGTCCGCCCCCTTACATCCGGGGCTCGGGCGGCGGCGGTGCCGCCGCGCGAGGGATCACGTGGTCCCTTCCTTTCCGTCTCTGGCCGGCTGGGCGCGGGCGACTGCTGGCGAGGCGCGTGGAACCTCGCGCTGGTTCCTTTGGTCTCCTCTCCCCGCCCGGGCCACTAGGGAGTCGGCTGACGCCGGGTGAGCTGAGCCTACCGCCAAGATGCCGGCCTACTTCCAGAGGCCGGAAAATGCCCTCAAACGCGCCAACGGTGAGTAGGGGAGCGGGGCGCGCCGGGCCGAGGCGGCCCGAGGCCTGGAGGTTGAGGGCCGGGCCTTGCTGGCCGCCGCCCGGGCTGCGGTCCGTGGGGAGCCCACTGGGGCTGGCCGCCGCTTTCCCCGGGCCAGCCACGGTTTCCTGTCCCACTCCAGCGCGCTGGGGTGGGAGGCGCGGATCGGGAACCGTCTTGGGAGCCTGTTTTTCTTCGGTGTCTCCTGGTGTTTCTGCGGCACCGAGGCTCGGCAGAAAGGCCTGCCCAGCCCAGAGTTCCTTCCCTTCCACCTCCAGCTGGCTCTCCAGGCCACCGGCTGTGGTCGGCTTAGGCCCTGCGCCCCTGGCCGCCATCTGGGAGTGTCGGGGAGGAGGAAACATGGCTCCCTCCCGGGGACAATGCACGCGAGAACCTCGGCTCCACCTCCCGCCGGGACCCGGAGCCCGGCAGGCCCACCCCTAGCCCTCCCTCCTGCAGGAACCTCTGTCCCCAGGGTTCGCGCGGTGCTCTGCGCGGTCTGGGTTCACTTAACTCTTCCTCAGTTACTTCTGTGTACTTTAGAGCCCCTGACCCATTTAACCTGTTACCTGGACTCCCCCCCACCCCGTATCAGTGTGACATTAATTAGGGTCGGTTAGAAAGCTTAACTCTAAGTCACAAGAAGTTGGAACAGTTAATATTTTTAGTCTTTAGGAGTCCTTCCTAAACTAGGCCTAGAGAGAATGGTTTTCCCAAGGTCACTCCGGAAGTTTGTTGAGCCACGAGACGAAAACCAAGCTCTTGACATCCAGATCAGTTTTTTTTTTCGCTACAGCGCTGCTACTTGCCTATTTCTATTTCTATATGTGTGCTTAAGCACTGGGCACTTGCAGGAAAAACTTGTGTGATCTCTTAAGAATCATGTGTAATACTCTGATACTGTAGGAGTGCGAGTGTCTTGTGCATGCCGGATCTTCAAAATAATTTTTTATTGCTTTTGTTTTGAACCTAATAATGTTTCCATGAGCGTGTTTTACCCTTCATCCAAACCGAAGACCCGTATTGTGGATGGATGGGCTATGTTAGGTACAGATTTATGTTCGGAGAGCTTATTAAATTGTTTGAAATGTCACTTTGTGAAAAGGCCATGGGTACTACTTTAAAAACAATGAGTGCTCCTGATAATCAGGACAAAAGATGTGTTGGTTACATTAAAAAAAATGAGGGAAGGAACAGTATGTACAATAATTTGAAAAGGTTAGAAGATGACTGTGATTCTAAAGGCTAGATATGACAAATATGTATATAAGAAAATAGATTGTGAAGGAAATTTACTACTATAAATAGCAAAGATTATTTAGATGTTTGAAACTTACAATTATATTGTGGTATATGAAGTGACTTGCTTGATTACAAAGCCGTTGTAGAGGCCTTATAGTCATTTGTATGCCTCAACAACAGGTCTTTTGTGTTAAATCGGGCTAGTCTGAAGAACTGCAATCTGTATGGGCTAAATAGTACATAATTTGATGTGTTAGTTTGAACCTTTCATCTTTGTTCGAATCTTTATGTGTTTCAGTTAGCTTTTTTGAAATAGGAAGGTCATGAAGTGTGCTTCAACTTTGTTTTCCACAGTTTATAAGTTGAAATGACTTGATTCATGAAGAATAAGTTGAGGAAAGTATTTTGAGAGTAAAATAGGCAATACGAGAAAGATATTGTAGGAAGAAAGTTGGATCTTGTTTACCCAGGTCCCTACTGCCTCTGGCTACAGCCATGTAAACTGTTGTGGGGCTGTTCTGTAGTAGATACCTTATTTTCTAAGTAGTAAATTATATAACTTACCTTTTGAGTGAAAGATTTGTTTTCTGAGCAGATTGTGGATGGTACAAGGCACTGCTTTCTAAACACTAGTATATTAATAAAAGTACGTTTCACTACAGAAATCTCATTTTAATTTTCTCTTAACATTTGTAATTCCAGATATAGTTAGATCTAACCCAGTGTGTTGTCTTAATAAGTAGTAAATTTAAACAGAATAATCCAGATCTTCCCTAAGCATTATACAGAAGTATTTTGGGGGGAAAATTACAGTAACCATATAGACAGATGATCTTGGCCCAGAAGTTATAAACAAGAAATTCATATCATAATTATTCAGAAGCCACTTTTCCATATTATGTTGTTAGTAGTGTCAAAGTAGCTTTTAGTCTACACTTTACAACAAATGCCTTTAAAAATGCTTATGAAACCTGTAAGTTGAGTAACATCTATTTGGACTATTGTGCAAACTAGTAAAAATGAATGGCTGATTTAAACCTTTATTGATTGATGCATAGTTTCAAATGTCCAAAAAGGTAAACTTAAAATGCCAACCATCCTAGTAATAATCAAACTTGTAGTTTTAATTTCTAGGATATTAAGCTGGAAATTAGGAAATAAACATTTCTTTCAACTATTGGACTAGAGTCTTTAATATATGATAATTCCTTCCCTCAAATCTCTCCCCCCCATAAAGAGGAACTAAATCTTTCTTGAGTAAACATTAGAATAGACTCCACTATATGTCATGAAAAATCCATTTCCATCATTTGAAAAACATCCTTTTGCTATGTTTTCATGTTTGATGTGATTGTGTCTTGTGTGTTATTGGAAGCTTATCTTTTGAAGTTAGAAAGTCTGATTTGAAAAATGCTTTTAGTTTTATCCCTAAGTAAAGATTTTTGGAACAGGGTTTGGCTAGGTAGTTTAGGCTAGTCTCAAATTTTGACTTGGCAAGAACTGAAATTACAGGTGTGTGCCAAATCTAGCTCCAAAACAATATTTGAAAAATGAGATTAAGGAATAATATTCCTGTTTAAAAATTTTTAAAATTAGAGATTTGGAAAGTATTATTATTGTTAGACAGTTTGTATTGTGTCATTCTTGCATGCTGGGCTCAGCTCTCTAAACTTTTTTTTGGGGGGAGGCTTCCAGTTGTGGGGCCTGAACTCTGGGCCTGGGCACTGTCCCTCAGCTCTTCAGCTCAAGGCTAGCGCTCTACCATTTGAACAACAGCGCCCCTTCTGGCTCTTTTTTCTTTTTGCTTATATGGTGCTGAGGAATCGAACCCAGGGCCTCATGTGCTCTACCACTGAGCCACCTTCCCAGCCCAGCTCTCTAAACTTTTAGCACTCCATTTGTCTTTATACCACGTTAAAAATTGGTAGATCAAAGCTGGGCGCCAATGGCTCACACCTGTAATCCTAGCTATTCAGGAGGCTGAGATTTGAGGATACTGGTTCAAAGCCAGCCTGGGCAAGTAAGTCTGTGAGCTCTTACCTCCAGGTAACCACTAGAAAACCAGAAGTGATGCTGTGGCTCAAGTGGTAGAGCACTTGACTTGAGCTGAAGAGCGCAGGGACAGTGCTGAGGCCCCAGAGTTCAAGCCCCATGACCAACAACAAAAAAATTGATGGATCACACTTAATATATTAATTAAATATATTAATAAAAATTTAATCTTCAGCAAAAGGTTAGGAGCTAGATATAATAGGTCATTTTAGTTACTGCTGTACTTCTTATTGTAAAGGGTAAATTTAATTAAAGGCATTTACTTCTACAATCTATTGATAAGTGACTTAGTTAAATAGCTTTGCAAAACATCTGAAGTACACATGGCTTTAGATAATTTTATGCTCCCAGATAAGGAAATACTTCATATTCCAAACTTATGAACTCTTGGGGCTTTGTGCTCTCACTTGGCTTTTTCTGTTTAAGGATAGTACTCTACCACTTGAATCACAGTTGCTTCCATTTTTTTCCCTGGTTAATTGGAAAGGGTGAATCATGGACCCATTCTGCCTGGGCTGGTTTTGCACTGCAATCCTCAGGTCTTAGTCTCAGTCTCAGTCTTGTGGCTAGGATTATAGATGAGCCTTAGCATAAGGTTACTTTTTTTTGTTACTCAGTTGGAGGAGGACTATGTGAAATTGTGAAGGTTTTTTTTGTTGTTGTTTTTGTTGGTTGTGGGTCTTGAACTCTGGGCTTGGGCTCTTCAGTTCAAAGATAGTGCTCTACCCATTGAGTCACAGTGCCACTTCCGGTTTTCTGGTAGTGAATTGGAGATGAGATTCTCATGAATCTTTTTTTGGGGGGGTCTGGTCGTGGGGCCTGAACTCTGGGCCTGGGCACTGTCCCTCAGCTCTTCAGCTCAAAGCTAGCGCTCTACCACTTGAACCACAGTGCCACTTCCGGCTTTTTTCTTTTTGCTTATGTGATGCTGAGGAATGGAACCCAGGGCCTCATGCATGCAAAGCAGGCACTCTACCATTGAGCCACCTTCTCAGTCCCATGAATCTTCTTGCTGGCTCTGAACTGTGGTCCTCAGATCTCAGCCTCCTGAGTAGCTAAGATTACAGGTATGAGCCACTGGTGCACCACGCTCCAATTCTCCAATATATTTTAATAAAGTCTGGCCTACTCAGGAGGCTGAAGTCTGAGGTTCACAGTTCAAAGCCAGCCCAGACAAGAAGATTCATAATCTTATCTCCAACCACCAGAAAACAAGAAAGTCCTCATGAGACTCTTGTATTACATATTTTTTCTTTTTGGTCGGTCATGGGGCTTGAACTCTTAGCCTGGCTGCTGTCCTCAGCTCTTCAGCACAAGGCTAGTGTTCTACCACTAGAGCCACAGTGCCACTTCCTCATGAAACTCTTATCTCCAATTAACCACTCAAAAACCAGAAGTGGAAGCCGGGCGCTGGTGGATCATGCCTGTAATCCTAGCTACTCAGGAGGCTGAGATCTGAGGATCCCGGTTCAAAGCCTGCCCGGGCAGGAAAGACCGTGAGACTCCTATCTCCAATAAACCACCAGAAAACCGGAAGTAGCCCTGTAGCTCAAGTGGTAGAGCGCTTGCCTTGAGCTGAAGACCTGAGGGACAGCTCCCAGGCCCAGAGTTCAAGCCCCACGACCGACAAAAAAAAAACAAAACCAGAAGTGGAGCTTCAAAGTGGTAGACCACTAGCCTTGAGCAGAAGAACTCAGGGACAGCCCAGGCCCTGAGTTCAAGCCTTACAGCTGAGCAAAATAGACAGACATACAGACAGATAGATTGCAGAGTTAGAGACCATTGTAGTTTTCACTGGAAGGACTGTTGGGACATACCATTCATTCCTAGAAGGAATAATTGGAAGCAGAAATGATAGGAATGATTACTAAACCTGTAGATATAGTAAAACCCAAATAAAGGGTTTTTATGGCCATTTGTTTGCCTATCACAGAGTTATTTGGTATATAAAGTATATACTGTTGTGAGATTTTTTGTTTGGTTCTTTTCTGGGTGCTGGGCATTGATCCAGGTGCTCCATCTTGGTACTGTAGACCTTCATTCCTCCCAGCCAGATTGTCAGAGAACAAGAATTTTTTTTTGGGGGGGGTCCGGTCATGGAGCCTGAACTCTGGGCCTGGGCGCTGTCCCTTAGCTTTTCAGCTCAAGGCTAGCGCTCTACCACTTGAGCCACAGCGCCACTTCTGGCTTT